TTTTTTTTTTTTTTTTTTTTTTTTTTTTGTATTTTCAAATCTATAAATACATGGTAAACTTTGGGTTTAGGAGTATCTTCTTATCATGATAAGGATTACTGGATGTTCCCAAAACAACAAATTAGGATTTTGTCTGTATTTCTACATTTCTTTTTGATCAATTTGTCTGTATTTAATTTAGGACAACTATTTTCCAAGTTGTAAAAAGTGTGGATACTATTTTTGTTGTTTTATTTATAGATCGATAAGTCTTTTACTTTATGATATAAAATGTCATTATCTAATATAATTTAAATTAATGCAGATTTTAATTTATTGTTATCATTAATATCTATATAAATGTATTGTATGTAATGGAAGCGGATCACACTCACCCCGTCTGACCCACAAAAAATATATTTTATTTGCATCCGCTCCACTTAATTTGCGAGTAATTCGCGGAATGCATGAATAATTATTAAAGAATAATTTTTTATTTTTTTATTTATTTTCTAACATTAATATGAAATAGTATATTTTGAATTAATTTTTTATTTTTAAATAATTATTTTTAACGAAATTTATTCTATTTTTGTAAAATAAAATTTTTAATTTTTTTTTCTATTTTTTCGGATTATCATGTATCCTCAATTGAAATTAGAATAATCCACATCCGTTCCACGTCAAAATACACCTGACCTGCATTCGCATCCACCACTTAAATTTTCAAATCGATCTGTGGTCGATCGAACAGAACGGGATCCACAGACTAATAATTAGAATTGGTGAATTTAGCCAATTAATAAAAACGATTATTTCATAGGTTTTAGACTAAAAAAAAACAAAATGCCATAAATAAATTTCTTTTCTTTTTTCACAAAATGAAAGATAATTTTGAAAAAGACCATTAATGAAATTTTTTATTTGTTAAAAGAGAATGTTTTTTGGATATATATAGTAAGCAAGATTGGAATGGATAGGGTGAAATGTAATAGAGGCCAGGCCCAATGATGAGCCCAGATTACTCAGGAGCGTTCGTGTCACGCGTTGACGACGGTAAAACCCCAGAAGCGGCTTCTTCGCCGTGCTGCGCAAAGCAGGAGGTACCTAGGTTTTAAGCTTCCTTCCGGCTCCTATCTATCTATCTGTCTTTTCCCTGAGTTTTGTCATTTTTGTTGGATCAGATAAGATAAGATGATGAGCTTCCTAAGGAGATCCATCGGCAGCCTATCCAAATCGAAGCTGGCTTCGTTTTCCTCCGCCCAAAAATCGGTTTGTCTTTTTCTCCTTACCACTTTCTCCAGAAATTAGCAGCATGTCGTTGTTAGCTATTGATTCTTCTGCGACACAGTTGGAAAGAAGCAAATTTATTTTCTTCTAGTCCTGCTCGAGTTTAGTAGTTACTAGCTTCCAACATCAAATGCACTTTGCTTTTTGTTCAATATCATCATGTCTCTCTCTCGGGTGAATGCGTGACAAAGAAACATATTCTTATGAGAAATAGTCAGTCTTTTTCTTAAATGTCAGTTTTAAGTCTGTTATTATGAATCCTTAATAAAACCCCTCTTGTTCTTCTTTGCAACATCCGCTATTCATACTCTCAACTTGTTTCTCTTCCCTTTTAATTGTTAAACATCATGTCTTCTTCTTCTTCTTTCCGATCATGCAGTTGATAACCGTTGTGCAAAAAGGAGTATCAAGGCAAGCCATTCCCGATTCTGGTCTCATGAGTGTGGTAATATGTTAGTTTGATAACTTCTGCCTCCTGTTCATTGGGCATTATTATAGCTGTTAGTTTAATCTCGTTTTTTTATTCCTATGCAGGTCCCAAATGGAGGAGCTAAGGGTCAGTAAACATTTAATGTGAAACTTCAAATCATAGGGTTGTTGTATAGTGGTTGTTCTGAGGATGATCTGTTTTGCAGGACTCTTGTTTGCCTTCCGGAATCCCCAATCTTGTCCAGTGAACATCAGGTCGTCTTCCTTGTTGTCTCGATCTTTTGCGTCGAGAGCTTCTGGGAAACATCATAATAAGGTGCTTCCGAGTTCCGACCTCCAACTTTCTTTGTTGCCCCCATTATGTCAACTACTGCTTGCTTGCTTGCCGTGTCTTAAACATTAATGCTTAGTTCTTTGCTGATATCATTTGCAAAATGTTTTTATAGGCTAAGAAAGAGGTGGTGACGGTGGAGGATCCTTTTGATTCTCCGACCTACCATATCCCGGAAAAGCCTGTAACCTTTACAGAAGGTGCTTCCTACAGTTTTGTTATTCTGGCCGGGCTTGCGGTCGCTGGGGCTTCTGGGTACGCTGTCTTTAAAGACCTCATTTTTCAACCTAAAGAGTGAGAGACGCTTCACAACTCTCTATTTTTTTTTTGATGATTTATATATATTCTCTGCTGATGCTTGGGAATCTGAAGTGACTCTGTTTCTGTATAGGTACAAGGTCTTCGACAAAGCCTTGAAGAGAATTCAAGATGACGGTCAGGTAATAAGAAACTATAAACTCCATAGAAGATTGATGATCATAACTGTGATTGTTAAGCCAAAACATTCGGAGACGTTACTGAGATTATGACTTATGTTTGTCTAGGTGAGAGTAAGGATTGGATCCCCCATCACAGGCTACGGACAAGAAACCAGAAACCGAGCTGCTCGTCAACGTATACCTAACCGAGTATTTACAGATGAAGACGGAGTCGAGCATGTTGAGGTATTTTTTTCTTTAATCTTCCCATGAAATTACGCTAGTGCAGCTATATTTTAACATCATCAAAAAATTGAACTTGGTTTTAGGTAAACTTCTTCATCCGTGGGCCTCATGGAGCCGGGAAAGTGTACACAGAGATGTTTAAAGACAAGGCAGATAAGGAATGGAAATACACATACCTGATCGTTGAGATTTTAGCTCCATCTCCAGCCAAACTGATGCTGGAGTCCTATTTGCCCTCCTAGATACTACTACTCTCTTGTGCCTATTTTTTGTTTTTTTTATTCAGTTTGGTCCGGAAAACACTCATAAAAGGCTACATTGTTTTATCAGTTAAGGGTGTGATCGAGAACAAAGAATGTGATAGTTTTACACTTGAGGTCTACTCTAGGTTTATCATCAACTCTGGGATCAAACATCTGTTGCACTAGCCTTGCTAATTTGAAATACACAAATTTTCATATATTAACTTATTATGGAGTTTTCACTTGCATCCCTCAGGTTGAAAATTATCAATTTGCAATATCTGAATCCCATTCAATCCTTACACACTGCTTTTGTCTCTCTCACACAACGCAGTAACTCCATTACCTACTCAATTGATGGTTTGCGTACTCAAAGCAACACTCTAATGTTTTACCCCGAGATACTTTCACTTTCAGGGGCCCTCTGATAAATAAAGTTGCTTGCATCTGCGTGGTACTGTCCATACAAGGCATAAACGGCAGTTGCAAGCACGCTCACAACAACAAATCTTATCCATGCTTCATAATGCAACTGCAAAATTAGCACAAGCTCAGAGTTTAAATCATATTATGAGTGGAAGGCCTTAATACAAAAGTGTAGGTGTACCTGAGCAAATAAGAAGATGTTGAAGAAAATGCAAACGCATGGCACAATGGGAACACCAGGACAGCAAAACCCCGAACCAGGAGACTGAGCATAAGCCTGGAAGCGAAAAGCTGAGGGTGTTAACATGGATTTGTAGAAAAAACCACTAAGGTAATATTCTGACTGCATCGCCATCTCATTTCTAAAACAAGAATGCCAAAGTTGAATCAATTGTCTATCACCGTGGAGTTCCAAATGCCAGACCATACTACTAGTGGTGTTGTTGTATGAAGACTTAATATTTAGCTTCTCAACTCCAGCATTGATTTACTTATTTTGGCGCAATGTAATGTAAGTAAGAAGAGTATTTGCTTATGCTCAAGGTTACTTACTCGGCGATAATGGAGAACTGCTGAAGCAATAACTGCCACACCTACTGAGAGAAGAAGAAAGAAAAGTGAAGCACTAAAGCGGTAAAATACGCCAGCACCAAAACCACTGCATGCAATAATAACAAGGCAAATGACGCCTTCATGCCAACTTGATGTCCATCCATTGGACGAATCCCTTTCTTTCTTATCGTTCAATCTCAAAGCTACAACACATGCTGCAACGACTGAATACCCAGTCTGAAAACCAAAAACAGTGGAAAGGATAAAGCGTGGATCCAAAAATTTAAAAGGGTATATATATATATATAATAAAAAAGAGCTTGACGTACCAATGTACCAACAGAGAGAATATGAGAAAGACTATGTACGTTAAAAATGCCAGCTAAAACGGCAGCAACAATGCCACACCAGATTTGAGAATGAAGAGGTGTATGAAGAGTTGGGTGTACTGTGGAAAAGAATGAGGGCAATAGACCATCCCTTCCTAGTCCCAGATATAACCTGGACTGTTTAGTGGAAAAATTTATCATCAGAGATAACAACAAGTGAAGTGATTGAATCAAAGAAAAATAAAATTGAAATTCACCTGAACATAAAGACCAACAAGCAGGGTAGTTGTGAGTCCAGCAACAGCACCAAAACTGATCAAGATTGAGACGAACTTCATACCCTTTGAAGAAAAGGCTTGGGCTAAAGGAGCATCTTCGCTGAGGAGACTAAAAGGGACCATCCCAGTGAGCACTAAACATACGCCAACATACAAAGAGATGCATACCAGAAGGCTCCCCATAATTCCGATTGGGAGGTCGCGCTGAAATGAAACAACACAATGTTTACACATTAGGAAAATATATGTATGATAATGGGGCAGCGGCCTACCTGAGGATTCTTGGATTCTTCAGCAGAATTAGCAACAGCGTCAAATCCAACATAAGAAAAGAAGACAACAGTAGCTCCAGTGAGAACAGCTTTGAAACCATTAGGGGCGAAAGGGGACCAATTGGCTACATCAATATCAAAAGCTCCGGCGCAAATAACAACGAGAACGATCACGACCTTGGTAGCAGTCATAGCGGAGTTAACAGCGGAGGATTCTCGCACACCCTGGCAGAGAAGCAGGGTCAAGAGCGCCAGTAGAATGGGAGCCAAAATATTTAAAGAGAGAAACCCTCCGAACAACTCTTGGCCGCTTCCCATCCAGAGAGGAATGGAGCCCTTGACAGCTGGAAAAAGCTCAAGGAGAGCAACCGCATAGCTTGCCAAGCTACGAGAGATACTAGCCGCCCCAATGTGATAGTCAAGCATGAGCTGAACGAAGACGAGAAAAGCGGTGATCTCGTTGAAAGCTGAATACGAGTACATGTAAGCTCCCCCAACAACAGCAGGGAAACGGGATGCGAGTTCTGCATAACACAGAGCGTTCAACACGCACGATGCTCCCGCTAGCAAGAAGCTGATCGTCACTCCTGTAATTATGTATACAATATACATTTTTGAATTGACACTAAAATCTATTTATTGATGAAACATTCTTTCTCCACCAACTAACCAGGTCCAGCATCGCGAGCGACTGTTCCGGTAACTACGAATACGCCGGCGCCTATGGAAGCGCCGACTCCCAACAGTATGAGGTCCAAGAGTCCGAGCCGACGAATCAAAGAGTCGCCGACGGAGGTGGAGCCAACGGCAGTATCCAAGGACGGAGGAGCCAATGTTTTAAATCGGCGAGCTGAAGCACACAACTGAGAGAACCATGTGGTGACGGAGGAGGAGCTGGAACCTTGGTGGCCTCCCATGGATAATCGTCGACTTCGGACGATGAAATGATATGCCAGATCGAGATTATGACTATCCACTTATCTCTATTGCCCCAAATATAATCACTACTCTTCTTATTTCATTTTATTCCACTAATATTTTCAATTACTTTTATCTCAAATTCTAAAATATATTAAACAAAAATAATTCTCATAATAAATTATATATAAAATTCTCTATCTTTTAATATTTATAAAATTCATATATATGAAATATATATATATCAACAAATAAACAAAATTAAATATGGACGTGAACATTGTGTGAGATTTTAATGGAAAAACTTTGGGAGATAAGCATGAATGTAAGCCAAATTCGATTAGAAAATTTTTAACCTTCCATGAAACCTTCAGTGAATCCTAAGATATGTGTCCACAAACAACCATCCACGTCTCTCTTCCCCACAATATAAACATTTATTTGTCCATAATCTCAATTCTGGAGTTCACAAATTTTTTATCCGCACGTTAATTGTCCATGTACATGTACACAAAACACATGCTCAATAAACTACGAAATTTAGTTAAATATTAAAGTATAAAATATATGCATATGGATACCAAAATAACAAGAAAGAAAAAATAAAATGTGAGTTTGTGTTGTCGACTTTTTTTCTGATGTTGGACCAGTGTGATATAGGTCTGTCACTTCAGGTTTTGGGCTGACTTTCGTTGTACAGTTGGGCTTGGTATAAAGCCTGGTGGCTTGAGTCTTCGGGAATTAAAGGAGACGACATCGTTTTGTACTGAGCTTCATCTTTATAACCTGGAACGGATAAGAAAAGGTTGTTACGCTTTTCTGTTATCTTTCACGATCAGATACAAAGAAGGAAGAGAGCTACGCGAGAGAGAAGAGAAGGGAGAGCGACGGTGAAGGTGCTTACCGGATCTGATCTCTCGACTCTGATTGCCGGTGGTGCATTTTCAGATACACTGCTTGTGTTCACGTTGCTTCGGTTGCAAGTTAACCTGAAACAAGGATACAGTGTAAGCTCTTTGTAATCTGTAAAGTCTCATACGATCTAGTGGAAGCTTGAGAGTTTTGATCTCTCCCCAGACAGTAGGCAACGAAGTCTGGGTAAACAATTCTTGTGTGTGATCGTTTTACTTTAGCAAATCGCAAACAAACTAAAACGAGAAACTTAACTCATCAACTAAGCAGTAAAGAATCTTGTGTATTGCGGATCTGATTCTTGACAAGTGGTATCAGAGCCAGGTTTATGGTGTTAGTAGGATCGGATCTGATTGTGGTCTAGCAATCTAAGGTGTACCTACGGTCTAAGTCTTGTTGATTTGTTGGTGTTATCTTGTGGATCTCAATGGAGTCGGTTAAGAAGTTTGAGATGGAGAAGTTCGATGGAAAGGGGGACTTTGGTATGTGGAAGTTTAAGATGAGAATGCAACTGGAATTACAAGGACTTGGAAAAGTTCTGGTTGAAGAATCTGATGCTGAATCCTCTGGAGATGAGGATCCAGATCCTAAACCTAAGGAGGAAGAGGTTGATCCGAAGGCAAAAGAAAAGGATACTAGTACTAAAAATCTGATATGTGCTAGTCTTTCAAACATATTCTTGAGGAAGGTTATGAGGGAAAAGACTGCTAATGCTGTATGGAAAGCTCTTGAAGCTGATTATCAGACTAAGACTCTACCGAATAGGATCTACCTCAAGCAGAGCTTCACCAGCTTCAAGATGGAAGAAAGCAAGAGTATTGAAGAGAATTTGGATTCTTTTCTGAAGTTGATTGATGACCTTGCTAGCTTAAACATCATGATCCATGATGAGGATCAAGCAATTCAGATTCTAACAAGCTTACCTCCACAATATGATACTCTGGTTCACACGCTCAAATACGGTACTGGAAACGATACGCTGACAGTTAAAGAAGTGACAACTTCAGCTTATGCTAAGGAGGCTGAGTTAAGAGAGAAGGGTCTACTAGGAAAGAACAAACCGACAGCTGAGGGCTTAATGGTAACCAGAGGAAGACAAGAGAAGCGTTACACTAACTCTAATAATCGAAACAGGAGCAAGAGCAAGGATAACAGATTCAAGAAGGGACAAAAGTCTCAAAATCAGCCAAAGGCACGTGAGTGTTGGACTTGTGGCAAAGAAGGTCACTATAAGCGAGACTGTCCAGAAATAAAGGACAACTACCAGAAGAATCAATCAGCAAACGTTGTTCAGCCTAAAGAACCTATGATAT